GGTATTTTGATTAGAGGCTTTACGTAATTAATTGCTCTCATCGTATTAATTACGTAATCCTGTTTCATTCAACAGCAAATTGAGTCATTTCTCATTAACTTAAGGGGTTTCAATTTCAAATTACGCAATGTTTTTGTCATGAAAATGGATGATACCGTCGCCAGTTAATAACATTTTTAAAATGATCCCTAAACTGTAGATGTGATTAGCTAGTATTTTGTTTCATTTTCATAGCTTCCACCCCTATTTGTAGAATAATGTATTAACCCACTCACAGGTGATTCCCAGGTCATTCCATGCTTTGGTCTAGGAATGGTAATTTAACCGTCTGTATATACTATCGTTTCACACATGCATTACATCCACTGCATTTAATTTCAAATAAATAAAAATGTTGATACTAAGTGACAGCAAACATGAACAAGTTATTGAATAATTTTTATTTTTTATTAATCTTTTGCCGCCTCATTTTGGGTGCAACATTTGCCTCATTTTTATGTATTTTTCTTAATTTTGGCCAAAATGCTGTTCAAAAATAAAAAAAAAAAAAATTAAAAAAGTTGGCATTTGTCACTAAAGTCACAATTACCAAAATAAAACCAACATATGTTTTTCAGAATTGTTTCCAAAATTTTTATCAAAAGCTGTAGGCAATAGGCAATTATCCAAAATTTTTGCATGAAAAAATATGGGGCTTATTATCTGTATTTTTGACAAGTGTATACTGATATTTAGCCATCCATTTCTGTTGTAGTATCTAATATCCCAAATGTTTCTTAGTGGAGTAATTATTATTTTTCACATTTTTTTTTTTAATTTGACTGCTTATTTAGGAATGTGTGCTGTATACTGCTACAACAAAATTGTCTATCAAAAGAATGTTTGTGGAAAATTATCAAAAAGGTGTATTTTTAATGCAAATCATAATTTGCATATCTTTTAGGGTTTATTATCAATGATTATGCTTTATAAACATGTCAATATTTCATAATTTCCAATTTTTTTTTTTTTTACTACTACCCCGGTAGTACTGGTATCAGGAATTTTGACATTTTGCTTGTAGACTAAATTGTGAGAAAATACTTGTACCAGTATTCTGCCAGGAAACAAATACTCCTGTAGCGTATTAAAGGTTGATTGAAAAAATTGACCTCTGAGTTACTTATGAGATAGATTTATGGAAATTAATTTTGTTTCATTTGAAAATGAGACATGTGCTTAATTCTTCACATCTAAACCACATCAAATTCCAAGTTTTACTTCTAGAAAGTAGACCAGAAGCAATTAAGGTCACAAATGCTATTTCGTTTTTGGACCAGAAAGACTTTTCTGACAGATTTAGATTAAAATTTACGAGAAAATTTGCTGTAATCTATAACATCAGTATGGCACTCGTAAAAATGTAAAATAGCAACATTTAGGTAATTTCTATGAATTTTATTACAATAAAAATAATTCTGAGCATTTTGAAAATCTTCTTTAAAATTGCGCATAACTGGAATAAAATTCTTCTCAAATTTCAAATTAAATATGTCAGTATTTTGCTGATTCTTAGAAATGCACTAAATTTAAACCTGATAAATATGGGAAAGTTAACCCAAGTATTTATGACTACCTTCACAAACCAGTGAATATTCATGTGATACCAAAAGTCCTAGTGATTCTGAAATAGCTACTGTAAAACTGATTTGGTCACAAAGAGATAGCTTTCACAGGTTAACCCACTAACGGCAGTATATATGATAACTTGATTGTTTATTGAATTACAAATTTACATTGCAACTGATAGAGTATTGGAGTCTTCATTGATTTTACTGCAGTAGCACATATACGTAATTGGACGTTGATGGTTTAACTATTTTTTTTATCACCCAGGGCGTGATTTCCACGCTATGGCTCTTCATTTATTTCTTGGATTCGTAGTAGAACAGAGTAAATATAAAGTGTCATTGCACTGTGTCATGTGACATAGATGTCACATGTGATGTGTTTAACCGGACAGTAAAAAAAAACGTTCGTAACTACTGTATTTGCTCTATTAGTAGCACATGTGCTTATGTAACTGACATTTTGTGGTTGATGTACACTTGTAATGTGTCACAAATAAATAAATATTTTTGAAGTGACTGAATTGTTAGAAGCAAACAATGCCCTCCCACATCACTAAAATATGCCCATTTTCCTGACATAATCTGGAAATCCAGCCAATGATATTGTGCACAATTCCATATATTAGTCATTCGCAACATTTACGCGTCTCATGGCGAATTACAGTCTCATGAGTAAATCAGACAAAGCTGTAGTTGAATAGCGATGGTATTGAACTTCTAAAGTGTGTATTGGCACTGAGGATGGTCAAGTTTACATACAAGTGTAACATAAAATGTGATTGTTATTAATCTTCATTCATCGGTTGTACAGTTGGTTAGAATCATCGGATTAAAGCTTTTCTTATGTGTGAACGAATGGAAATTGTTCATTCTTTGGAAAAAAAACAAACCTCAGTTGTTTATAACCTTCCCAACACTAAAAATCTTTGAACAAACAAAAACTTAGAAAGCGCACAGACTTATTCTCATAAAACGTATACATCGCTATAGTTACATATTCAGGAAGTCATGGAGATTGTTCTTATTATGAATCTATCAAATCAGAAATGCAACCTTTCTTTTTTACCCATTTATTAACAAAACAAGTCCTGATATGAGTGCAATAATAATTAAATTTATCATTTTATTTTTGTCAATCATAAATATCAAATAAATATTTTTCTTTTCTTTTATGCATAGGATCATACACTGTAACCTAACCCTCTGCGCACAAGACATCGATATATATTACGTACTTACTTGCGTCTAATTTTATGATAATTGATTGCCTATTATAATACATTTATATTCATCATCAGACAATGAAATATCATCTTGGTTTTACACCTAAAGTTTTATAGCTTTTTTTTGTCACAAAATTATATTTGTCTAGACTAAAATCTTATCAGCAGACTTTTTAAAGAGAATATAATTTATATTTTTGACTACAGAGATCGCTTGTGACTGTCTAATCTGTCTCCAGGCATTTCATGGTAATCAGTATTTTTTATTGCCATTGTGTTTTCAGCTCGCTATAATGGAAAACGTCTTGCAATTGAGCAGGCAGAAGATGGGAGACTTGTATTTTTTTTTAATCTTATTGTCGTTCAATAATAGAAAAGAGAAATTGGATTTATTTGTTTATAAATTGGATTTATTTGTTTATATGGATTATAATCCGTCTACTAGCGTAATGATTTGTCAGTATCTATTATGCTTTGGCGTTACAGTAATTCAAAACTAAGGTATCCGGGGCACACATGGTACTACAATTGTACAACAATCTCATCAGCGTTTTGTTGTTGTTTCGCTTGACGACACCAAATTGTGAATAGTGTAACCAAAATACAGACACAGTCTTTTAATAACGAGACAATAATATACCAACCAGTAAACTGTTTCCAAAATGACTCCAATAATATAGCAGTATAGAAACATGGTGAA